CTTTTATAGAGGTCGTCGATAACTTCATTAGCAATCAGGATGCAATCCGCAATCTGCTTTCCAGAAATAAAAGTAAATTGATTCTCCCCCAACACTTCATTAAGACATCTAGCCATTCTTTTAGCCAAAACCCGAGCTACTATTTTGTACAAACTCCCCACCAAAGAAATTGGCATATAATCCTCCGGATAAATAACCTCACCTTTTTTCGGGATAAGAGCGATATAAGATTTATTGAAAGGAAGATCCTTAACTCTGTCCCAATAAAATCAGCCATGAACAACATGACATCAGCCTTAATAACCTTCCAGAATTTTTTGAAGAAATCCAAGTTAAAACCATACGGACCCTGCGCTTGCGAACCATCCGACGAATTAATTACGTGCCATACCTCTTCTTCAGAAAAATGACTCTCAATATACCTTTTAGTGGCATCACAAATTCTCTTGAACGGAATATCCAATCTCTTAACTGGAATAGTTCTTACATCATTATAATTGCACCGAAAATGAGAAACAAAGGCTTGTTGAATCCTTGCTTGTTGTGTAAAGACCAAATTATTGACCATTAGCTTTGAAATCCGGTTAAATCTAGCTCTTGAAGAAGCAGTTAAATGAAAAAACTTTGTGTTTCTATCCCCTTCTTTGAACCACCTGAGTCTAGATTTTTGAAGCCATTCTCTCTCTTCCATCCTCAAAACATCCCACAAACGAGCCTTCAATGCAACAAGATCGGTCTGGGTAGAAACTAAACTGGGGTTCAAAATAATCCTTTTTTCTAAGTCATCAATCAATTTCCCAATTTTTTCTGTTGAATTTGTATTGTTATCCCGAATAGATTTTACTCTTTCTTTTGTAACAACCTTAGTTAGCAATAACGATTGCATAATGTTTCTACCTCTGTTATTCTCCCACACATCGTTAATTCTACCGACAAGGATCGGATCTTCCACCCAATGGTTAAACCATTTGAAAGGCCTACAAACTCTAATATGCTTCCTTTCTTTAAGCACAATCGGGTTATGATCCGATATACTTCTTGGAAGAGTGAATTGCATAAAACCAGGAAAATCACCAGCAATATCAGTAGAGATCAGCAAACGATCCAGTCTACTAGCAGACACGTTCGACCCTCCCTTAAACCAAGTAAAAATACTGCCCGAAATCAGAGCTTCAAACAACTCCCACCTTGAGATAAAGTCTTCAAACATATTCCTCGCAGCAGGCAGATCTTGGGCCCCAATTCTTTCCAAAGTTGACCTTACAACATTAAAATCAACCCCCACTACAAACGGACAGTTGAGATTAGCGATGACAGTACTAAGATTCTCGAAAAACTATGTTCTTTCATTGTGACAGTTTGGCCCATAAACATTAACAAAAGCAATCTCAGAATTATTAAATATCAATCTTCCTTTTATAGCTACAATTCTCCTAAGAATAATGTTGCTAGTCATCTCAAAGGCATTACGGTCCTATCTAGAAATGATCCCTCCTGAAGTGCCTTCAGCAGGCGTAGGGATGGGCATGGGTCGGGTTTTTGGTCCACCCGACTCGATAAGAAGGGGATCTCCACCCGTGACCCGACCCGACCTGATAAAATTAATTTTTCACCCGATCCGACCCGAAATAATAAAAAAGTTATTTTTATTCAATAAAAATAGTGACTAAATTGAAAAAAATAATATATAGAGGGGTATTATTGTAATTATTCCTAAATATATAGGGTAAAATTATATATTTTTTCGGGTCGGGTCGGATATTTTTCACCCTAAACCCGAATCCGATTTTTTTTTAAAAAATCCGACCCGATCTGATCCAGTCGGGTTGGAACATGTCGGATTCGGGTTAGATGCCCATCCCTAAGACGCAAAAACCAAAGCGCTACAAACTCTACCCAAAAGAATTTTCTCCACAGAAACAGGAATCTCAATCGCTTTAACACTATACTTGGTTTATTAAACTCTATGGCCCGGCTAATAGCTCTAACTTTAATAGATTTTCCCAACCCTCTAATATTCCAACTAAATATTTAGAAACCTGAATCCATACAAATCAAGCACACAAACGAGAGAAATACTACAAAGGCCAACCCCAATCATAACTTACCCGAGAACTCATTCTGCTCCAAACGATGAACCACTACCTCTCTTGACGCTGTAAATGCAACACCCAGTGCCTCTCCAACATCAAACGTTGCTTCCGCTTCATTACCAGGCGCCGAACAATCAACAGAGATCACCCCCGCGATCGGCCGCTCCTCTTTTCTCCTTTCGAACCAGAACCTGCTTTCTCGTAACCTTCTTCTTTTTATTAAATTCTTTACTTCTCATCATCCTTCTCTTCTCACCCACCGGTTCCCCGTTGCCAGCTCTCGAAGAAGAAATGATTTTGTGAGAATTGTGGATAACCTGATCAGAAGTCAATGTTTTAGTTGAATCCCGCACACACGCAATATCACCCAGGTCCTCATCTGCATGACTATTTAATTCCAAAAGCCCACCACTTAACTTCACAGGTTGGATATCAAGCCCAACTTCCGAATAAATCAGATTATCATACAAAGTCTGTACTTCAGCCCCACTCCTTTCCACCGCCCACATGCCCCTCACTAGCTGCCACGAAACCATTAACACTGATATTCTTCTGACAATGCATTACATGCGTATTTGCCCCATAATATGCTGCCTGTGGACCAACTTCACCAGCGAGGTCATCTTCGATCAAAGGAAACTCACCCGCTTCTTCAATATCGTTGCGCCACGCTCCACCGCCTGCTAAAGAGCCATCTAAGAACACTCTATTTTCCTCCTGTAATTCTGTTGAAATTTTAATGGAAAATAGTTTTCCGTTGAAAACAATAAAAGTTTTCTCTGGGATCTCCGAAACATATTGAACTTCCAAGAGGATCCTGGCTACATCAAACCTCGTCCGATTACAAGTATCTTCATCAATACATAAAACTTTTCCCCACCGGCTTCCCAAATCCTTAAAAAATTTCGTACTCCACACTGCTAGAGGCACATCCGACAGAAGCAACCAGACTTTAATTCTTACTTTGTTCTCATAACCCTCCAACAATTCCAGCTCGTCAAACCAACGATGAATTCATACCTCTCTATTTTGCCAGCACCCCAGACGATCAGAAACGTTTTTGAATTGGATGACAACCAGTAACTCATGCCAAAAACTGACCTTCACATCAAAACCTTCTGCGCTGAAAGCTGCTTGAATAATATCTTCATCGTACATATTTTTAATTTTCCCCACCAAACAAGTATTCCTCCACGATAACTCCTCATTAATGCGAATAAGCATATTTTTCTCACCATTTTTAGTCTCTGGCCTTAACTTTTTACCATCTTCAATCAGAACATGAAACACGTTATCCAGTCCAGGAGACAACAAACGCTGAGAACTATCGACAATGTCTGCTCCCCTGCTATCAACAGTCTTCATCCCTCCGAGAACATCTTTAAACGACCTGGAATCCCTTAACGATGGCTTCCACAATTTTTTAATGGATAACCCTGACTCAGCCCTCTTGATCTTTTTTGTTCCCTTATTATCATGGAATACTCTGATCTTAAAACCATCCATGAACCTACCATCCGCCCTCCGGACCGCTATGTCTGCTTGGAATTTATTTTTGAACCTAACAAAAGCAAAGGTAGACCCACCTGATTGTCTCCTTCTACTTTTGAACGCTATGAAAACGTCAGTCACTGCACCATACTCCTGAAACGCCTCCTTTAGGGATTTAGGGTGGATCCTTTTACTCACGTTGTTGACGAACACCGTATACCATTTTGAACCACGATCATGCCAGTCGCCTTGTGAAACTCTTCGCCTGATTGCTTCCCTCATTCTTGCGTTCTTTTTCTATTATAGACAATTAACTTTGGAAGTCGTAAATTTTATTATTAACCAATGATAGCATCTGCCATCCCTATTTTGAACCTATCGTTGTAGTGGCTATTGAATGGAGATAAAGGAGAAGGTTAGTCTAGAAAAAAAAAATGAAAGAGAGAGCTTATCATTAATTGATACAAAGCAATAAAGTCGCAACATCATCATAAAGCCTTGGAGACTTTAGGACAATAATAAGTGATATCAAAGCGGAGTTGGGAACAATTCAAGACATTGTAGCAATTTAGAGATAAAGTTAACAAGTTTTATTCTAACGTCGTCTTCACTTTGATATTATTATCATAAGACTAATGGCTCTCTAGCTAGTCTGTGAGGTCTTAGATGTTTCTAATCAGTTTGGACATCTAAATCAACCTTAAATCCTAAACCAAAGGTTTCGTTGAACAAGAAAGCAAAAACAAAAAAATAAAAAGAGAGAATGACACACACAAAAGAAGATTTGAGTGAATGCTATGAGTTGTATTGCTCAATATTAAATGAACAAGTTAGGGTAAGTCTCTATTTATGGTTGTACTCTTTCTATTAAACGGATTAGATCAATTACATGGACGACTAAGATTAAAACATATTTTATAAAATTTTCTATTCAAGGAAGCTAAATCACTTAAATTAATACAAGATAAAAGATTGCATCATTTATTAAAACGAAAAAAAAAATCAAAAGAAATCTTTATTTGTCATAACCGATGGAATAGAATCTTCGGCTCGAATGGGTAAAGATAAGCCTAAGATCATAGAGATGGTGTCTTAGGTTGCTCGGTGTGCACTGATCTCGGTCCCAAACCGTAGAAAATTAGACCAGGCTGGTACTGGTCAAATTATAGTTTTGGTCCTCGACTACACTAGAATTTGAGATTTAATCATATTCTTTAACTTGATATAAATTATTTATCTTAATTTTCACTGTACTTCAAACTATTGACGCAATCCATTTTAAAACAATCTACACTTCTGTCAAACGCTCAAAAATGTTTCTGAAAATTTCCGTCAAACAAATTAATCTATTTAACATTATAAAAGTATCAGGATTAATTTTAACATAATACAAGAACCAAAACAATAATTTAACCTTCAGTACAGGAAAAAGTACGTGAAAAGTGGGTTAACAAATACAACAAAACTCGGAACTCTGAAGTCTGAACAACACGGTAAAAACATCTTTGAACCACTAAATTTCGCCCAGTTTTCTTGGAACAACTGCTGGACTCGCGTAGATTATATTAAAGAGAACTTTCCCGCAATGGAAATGCAGAGTGGTTGAGGATTCATATTCCGGCAACGGAAATGCAGAGTGGTTGAGGATTCATATAGCATCGGAAGCAGGAAGCCCTAAACCGGTTGGTTCCGGGTTCATCATTCTGTCAACTCAATTGAATAAGACATCAATTGAGAAAAGTGGAACTAAGACTTGGTTAGCCATAATCTGATACAAGAAGATGACAGTCTGGACCACTAAGACACACACACACACCAGACTGAATGATGCACAACGGTAAATGCAGTGTAGGCTTACCTCGGCCTGAATAAGGGAGACACACTCCTTCGGACAATCTCTTGAATCTGCTCCGATGGAAAAATAGATGCTTCGACATCAAAATTAGCATCTTCCATCTGATGGTGCAACTGAATGGAAACAAGTCACAATGATCACCCATTTTTAGTATCAGAAAATGTTTACTGTAACATTCCGGATGTCCAAGCCAAAAACTGCTTTCTCGAATTCAGTGCCTGACGGTCCAAGTCTCCACACAATATATGCCAAGGAAAATAACACATTCACCTACCCTCTCAAAAATTGCAGATTGATCATCCAGGTGAAATTTGCGCATATATTTTAGCATCTCTAGTTGCTGCAAAATTGTTCACCTCGAAGACTTGAGCAAATACAGATTCTCAAACTTTAACAAAATTTGGAATAGTTGCTACCTGTTCATGTAGTTTTTGTTGACTGTGAAGCTTTTCAGCAAATTCCTCAGGTCCAAGCTCAGCTTCATCAGAGGCTAACTCCTCACTGTTGTTCCACAGAATAAACATTAGCGAGTCCAGATATCAAATCCTGCACACCCGCAACCCATAATTCTGTGACAAAGGAAAATTGCCAGCTGTACAAATATTATAGAACAGAACATTCTTTTTACCATGCTTAACCTGAACCACAGTAATACTACACCAAACTATATTAAAACATATATGAATCAACCGTATCTGAGATTTCTTATATATAGTAATGACTACAGGTCTCATGCAACTCCATGTTAAAGTATTAACATAGCTCAGGAATCAACACACATAAAAGCCATGAATTATTGCTCTCTTTCATTTGTAAAACCTTGAATTCTACAGCAATAGCCTCAGGCTATTTATACAGCATAATATGAAATGTAAAATGAGAGGGAAAGAACGTTAGGACGTTAGAGGAGAGAGAGAGTTTGTTAAGACAACTCTAACCACCTCACGTACAATGCACATGCATGATCATACGAATGACTATTCCATGCATACATCACACATATTAACATCATACACTAACATTCCCCTTACTACTTTACTCTGCACTTTTCTAATTCATTATAAACAACAACAACTCCCTGATAGACAGATGTGATTATGAGTGAGCAATGGCTAAAAGTTCGTGTCTGAGAGTTCTTATATATAGTAATGACTACATGTCTCACGCAAATCCCTGATAGACAGATGTGATTATGAGTGAGCAATGGCTGAAAGTTCTTTCAGCATATGAAGTAATGAATGAACATCTGAGTTTTGTCTCCATTGCAGATCCAAGAAGAATGATTTTGGATGCTTCAAACATTAGGAGCAATACGAACCAACAGTTGCACATGTGAACTCACACACACACACACACAGAGAGAGGGAGATTACTTGGAAACAAATCTATAATAGCTAATCATCAAATCTTGATTGTTCTCGTATGTTATACTCACTTTCCCCAGGCATGCAAGACCAAAACTTGGATCTGTATCAGAGAAAAGGAATCAAGTAAAACAATGTCAGAAGCTCCAATAAGAATAGATCAATCATTTTGCTAATTCCTGGATTCAGCTCTTGTACACTAATAATACAGCTTTGCAACAAAATCACATTAGATTCTCAAATCAACATGGTGAGGGCATTCACTTGAATTAACAAACACAAGGTATATCACTTTACATACCCCAAAACTCTGTAAATGTTACAAAAGTGATATTTAGTCTTTGCTTGGTAGATTTGGAAAAAAAATTGGAAGGATAGAAAAATTTCTTACCACTGGGGTGCTTGGCAGGAAGGATGAAAAAGTTGAAATAAAATTGCATTTTATTTCTTACCAAGCACACTCAACATTCATTTTCTTTCCACTTCTAGTCACTGCTCATATCCTTCCATTTTTACTCCAAACCAAGCAAAAACAAAGCTTTGAGTTTAAAAGTAAATCAATCGTTTGGATATGATCACAAAACATGGTCGAAGATGATGCCATGAGCAATAGTTACAAGAAGTTTGATTGTGCATTTAAATCAATAAACCAATGGCCACAACACAAAGGTAAATAAGATGGATTACGTTTAAGACTTGTAGGATCATGTAAGATTAAACACAATTCCAATCAAACTTGATGACATAGAAAGACAAACATACCAACACCCATCTCCAAAAATATCTCTTCCTGAACTGCCGTGGTGACAGCAACCGGTTCCTGCATAAAAAATAATAAATTTTCAAATGAGGGTTAACACTTAAAAAAATAAAGGCGATTTGAAAATCATAAAGGAAGCAGAGTACTCAAAAGCTAAGTTCTAAAGCCCTTAATCCCCAACAACACAAGACTAAAAGAAAAGGGTAACCTGCTTATCATTCACAGCTTCGACAACCTCTCCTTAAATCTGGCAAAACAAGGGAAATACTACTACTTAAGAGGAGAAAACAAAAGCAAATGGAAAATACCAGGTTGGGAAATGATAAGAGAGAATCGATCGAATAGATACAACAACTGTTCTCTTGATAATGTCCCGGATTTCTGCAACTGGGTGTCCGCCATTTATCAGCAAAATTCAAAGATTATGAAATATCAAATCAAGAAAATAATATTAAAGCCTTCTAAAAAGTATAGAACAAGGAGAATCACCCAAGTCCTTTTCTCATTGCTCTGCAATTACAAGGCTACCCTGTTTTAAATTAAGTTCTTTTTTTTGGGTAAACTACATAAGAGATAACTAAATTATAGTCAAAAATCACTGTGACCACTAATATTTTAATTTGATCAAACAGATCACTTAACTATTTAAATGATTCATTTAAATTACTTTCCCTTAATTTTTTAACCAATGAGTTATCGTGGGAGTTAATAAAATTACTGTTAATCCTCAAAATATATACATTCTATCAATTTGAGGGCATTTTCTTAAATATTTATTTATTTATTTAATATATTTATTTTTCATCTAATAAGGTCGTTACACATGATTATCTATTTGAGGATATTTTCTTAATTATTTATTTATTTAATTAATATATTTATTTTTCATCTAATAAGATGATGACACGTGTAACCACATATTAAAGTGAGAAAATCAAATGGAGATTTGATTTGATCATGGGACAAACGGCTTCAGCACAAACGTCTAAACCACTACACCAAACACCTGATGTTGTTCATATTTGCACCAGGTTTTATATATTTATTTCAGTTACTGACAGAATATTAAGAAGTAAAAATGCAATTCTTAATTTTTTTATTTAATGATTATAATTTAATATTATATATTCAATTATAATCAATAAATAAAATTAAGAATTATTTATTTCATCAGTTTTATAAAAAAATATAAAAACGGTAAATTATAGTTAATAAATAAAAGCAAAGATTTTTTTTCATTAAAAATGTATACAAAATGTTGTAAATTGTAGTTAAGAGATAAAAATTAAGAATTATTTCTTCCATTAACAAAAAAATAAAAATATATAAAAAGTTGTAAATTATAGTTAATAAGTAAAATTTAAAAAGTATTTCTTGCATTAATAATAATTTAAAATATATAAAAAAAATTATTAGTTAATAAATTAGAATAGAGAATCATTTCTTCCATTAACTGAATTAGTTATATATATTATGTTGTAATAAATAACCGAATCAGGTGTTTATTGGAGTGGTTTAGGCTTGCAACCCATAGTTGATTGTTCCAGTTCACAACCTGGAGGCGCACGTTTCAGATCCCACTTGTTGCATAATTTACTCTTTTATTTTCTCTCACATGTGTCACTACCGTATTGAAGGAAAAATAAATATATTAAATAAATAAAAATCCTCCAATCCAGTAGTGACATGTGTCATTATCTAATTAGAGATTAAATTTATTTTAATTGAATTAAATTATGACCAAATTGATATGATGTATAAATATTGAAGATCAAATATGAAATTATACAAACTTTTTAACAGTCCCATTATTTCCTCCGTTAAAAGTTAACGCCAATGGCTTGATTGAAGTATTTAAATAGTTGGATGATCTGTTTTATCAAAATGAAACATCAATGGTCAAAATGATTTTTGACTATAATTGAGTGGTCACTCATGTAATTTATCCTTCTTTTTCATGGCTTAAATATACAAAAGGTGTCTAAGGTATGCCTTTGGTTTTAGTTTTGTGTCTAACGTTTATTTCATTTCAGTTTGGTGCCTAATGTTTCATTCCGTAACTCAAATTGGTTCAGGTTGTGACAAACTATTAAGTGTGGTCTTTAAGTGACACGTGTCACAACCTAATAATTTTAAAAAATTTATTTAAAATTAAAATAAAAAATTATATATTTTAAAAAGAAAATACAAATTTTGAAATAAATCTAAAACTTTGAAAACCTTCATTTCAACCCCTAAACCTAAGTCGGCCACTTTTGCCATTGACAGTCGATTGGCCTTCGGATTCATGTGGGATCGTGATTTTCATCATAGGGTTCGCAAGGTATAAAATGTTGAATTGTCGTCGATCGACCGTCGATGAATCATGATTTCATGGGGTTTTGATCTTCCAGGGGAGGGGAGGTCGGGTGGAGCTTTGTCGACGGAAAAAGGAAGTGGCTGGAGTGGGGTTAGGGGTTGAAATGAAGGTTTTTAAAGTTTTGGGTTTATTTCAAAATTTGTGCTTTCTTTTTAATAATATATATATATAATTTTAATTTTTTATTTTAAATAAAATTTTTCAAATTACTAGGTTGTGACACGTGTCACTTAACGACCAAATTTAACGGTCCGTCATGGCCTGACCTAATTTGAGTTACGGAATGAAACGTTAGGCACCAGACTGAAACAAAATAAACGTTAGGCACTAAACTGGAACTAAAGGCATACATTGGGCAACTTTTGTATATTTAAGCTTTTTATTATTATTTTTAAATTAAGTATCACTTGCGAGATAAGAGTGAGTATTGTGAGATAAAAATAAATAAATTAATATATCTTATGAATTTATTTTATTTAAATTAAAGTAAATATATTTTTTGTAAATTATCCTATTTAATCGCATAGAACGCTCTTTAATCATATTATAATGTTAGTTGAATTAAAATCAAGTATATGAATATCATTGCTATAATATTTATAGATTTTAGCCCCCGATATATATCAATCATCGGGAGAGTATTTCTTCCACTTTGGGTGTGATTGAGGTTGAGGACCTTGGCCACTATCTGGTTATGCCTCTAGTTATTGGGAAAAATTAAATTGAATTTCTTTGGTTTTCTTTGGGATAAAGCGGCCTTGAGGGTTATGGGTTGGACTAAAAACCTTCTCTCCTTTGGCAGACGAAAAGTTTTTTATTAAAGTTGTGGCCTAAGCTTACCCACAATATTTAATGTCTTATTATTTGCTGCCAGATTGTTTGATTCTGGAGATGGTTAGTACAATGCGTAGGTATTGGTGATCTGGTCGTATTTCAGAGCGAGGTTGGCCTCTTGTGGCTTGAAAGATGATGTGTATGCCAAATAACGTTGGAAGCATGGGATTTCATGACATGAGAAGTTTAAATTTGACGTTGCTTGGAAAGAAAGTGTGGAGATTGATTAAAGAACCTCATAGTCTGTTTGCAAAGGTTTTATGAGCAAAATACTTTTCGAATACGGATTTATTGCATGCCAAATTAGGGAACAATTGTTCCTTTGCATGGAGGAGAATTCATCACACCTTAATTGCTAGGCCTGTAAATGAACTGAACGTTCAGCGAACCGTGCGGCGAGAAGTTCGTTTATGTGCATTTATTTATTAAATGAACGAACATGAACAAGATTTTGTGTTCGTTTAATTAAATGAACAAACATGAACATAGGTCTCGTTCGTTCATTTACATTCGTTAACGTTCGACTATGTTCGTTCGATTATGTTCGTTTATGTTCGTTCGGTTATGTTCGTTTATGTTCATTCATTTATGTTTAACCAATCTTCTTAAATCAATTTTGGTGACCAATTTGTAAGTATCTTAAAAATATTAATTAATTTGATATTCTGATGACCAACTCCATAATTAACCCAATTTTATTTGGAAAACCCAATAATATTAACATGGTTTAGTTCTTTTTGAATTATCCATAAGCTGCATACCCAACACCGTCAACATCCACTGCACTGAAACCCTATGTGACTGCGCCACCAGCTGGTTATCCGATGAGCAAAGAAGAGTCCCAGAAACCAGTTGCTTTCGAAACCAAGTCCAAAGGTGATGGATTCCGTAAGGGATGTTAAGTATTAAACACCGTTTCTTCTACTCAAATAATCTTCTTTTCTTTCATATATAATGGAGTATTTGAATTTACAAGTAAATAGTGATCAACCAGCAACTCAAGTCAGCTTACTTTGAACTCAAGAACCCAATAATGGTGAGGCCTTATTCCATAGGTTGAGAAGTTCTTTAACGCGTTTCATCAAACAAATTTTGTGTGCTATCTGGATATGGAAGTTTAGCCAGTCGAGAAAGAATGGTTTTTGATGTATAAGTTGGTGTGAACAATAAACCAACCTACTTCTCTCATCTCCCAATTTTTAACTTCTACATAGCATGAAGCTAAGGACATCTTTGTTTGATCCCAAGGATTAAGGTTGGCAATCACATGAAACACAATCTGTGTTCATCTCGACTGTTGTTGAAGGAGAGAGGAAGAAAGAAAGTGGAGGAACATTATGCAATCCCACATCAATAGCAAACAAGCAGCTCGGGGTTGGTAACTTATATAAAAGAAGATGGGGGAGAATAGGTTTAAGCATCTTTGTGCTTGGGGCAATGTCGAGCTTGAATTGATCTCAGAATCGAGCTCAGAATCGAGCTTGAATCGAGCTCGAGTCTCGAGTTTTAATCGAGCTCTTAAATTTTTTTTGAGTTCGAGCCTTTTCGAGTTCGAGTCAAGTTTCAATATTATATTTTGAGTTCAAGTAGAGCTTGATAATTTTAAGCTCACGAGCTTTCGAGTCGAGTTGACTTTGAAAGTTTTCGAGTTCGAGTCGAGCTCTGCAATACTCGAGCTCGACTCGGCTCGTTTACACCCCTAGGTAGGGTCTCCAACGTTTATGTCCGTTTATGTTCGTGTTCATTTATGTTCGTGTTTGTTTATGTTCGTATTCGTTTATGTTTGTTTATTTATTAAATGAACGAACATGAACAAGTTATATTCCTTAATAAACGAACATGAACAAAAAAAATTTTGTTCATTTATGTTCGTGTTCGTTTATTTATTAAATGAACGAACATGAACATACCTCCGTTCGTGTGCGTTCGGTTCGTTTACAGGCCTATTAATTGCTATTAAAGATTGTCTTTATTGGCATATTAGCATGCATAGATGCATTACGATAACTGGGGTGGTTTTAACAAGGTGTCATTTACAGGGTGATACGTGGACCATACTATGAACCCTATTCACTGCCAGATGGGATGAAGGATTGGTGAGAGGAGTGTTTACTCATGCTGATGTCAACCGTATCCTTTTTGTCGTTATAGCTCCCTGTAGTTGGGACTCCATTGTGTAGGAGAAACATGACTCGGGTATTTATTATGTTAAGAATAGTTATATGTGGT